CCCCAAAACCCCAAAACCCCAAAACCCCTTGTTGTTTTAAAAGGTTGAATCATTAGAGAATAATATGAAACCTTTTCAACAAGAATCTTCACTTCAGAGAGGCTTAAAAGAATTTAGGATATGCTAATTATATTCTGGATTCTTATTCTCTTGATCAAAACTATCTTCCTCAAGGTCATGTATTATTCTGAATCTATTCGAACTTCATACAGACATTAATTTATTAATCTCTTCTAAAGATCACACCATTCCATACCATCCTGATATTCCAATTTTTCTTCAGTATTTTCTTCCAAACTCAACTTCTTCCTTTCCTAAAAATACCCATAATATCTTATTTCACCCCAAATTCAATTCTATGTCCTTAAAACATCTCTAAACAACTCTAAGCAAACTTCTAAGTCTAATTTGCGTCTTTTCTTAAAATTAATACATCTTCTCCAACTCAACAACCCCTTTAAAAATCAAAATACCTTATTTCTTACAAATAGAGACCTCTGGTTCTTCTCTGAAGCAATAATCTTGTTGATAATCTTGTGCTGGAGACTGCTTTGAATTCAGGAATAAGGATTTTGAACTTGACTTTTGTGGCTTTCTAAGCCTCTTTTAGCTAGCCTCCCTCATTGAAGAGGCTTTTTCAAGTTATTCAATGTTTTACTTGTTTTGAGCGGGCTTTGTGGTTCTTGGTCATGGTAGATGGTCAGTTGTGAATTAGTTGGTTTAATAAAATTGAATGAATTCGGTTTTGCAGTTGGTTTAGACGTGTTTAGAGGTCGTTATAAGTACTGGAACTTGATTTTGTGTCCTATAAGTATAACCTTGCTAGAGATTCTTACCTTTTGAGGAAGAATTATTGAAAATTTTCTAATTTTCTTTTCATTCATTCATTTATTCATAGAAAAAACAATATTATTTATTGTTGCCGAGCTTCCTATCCGCCTTCAAATATCATTGTCTTCTATCAGAATTATTTATCAAAATACCTGAAATCGTAGGACTTGTTCTGCTTGGGAGAAGTTTGGATTTTTTGATTTTTCTTATTTAAAGCTCTACACCATTATCTTAAAACCCTAGTACTTTATCTTCTTCAAGTTTGCTGGCAAGTTAAAACTGGTAGACCTAAAACTATCAACCTTCTAGTAAATGTACCTTAGGTTTTGATCTTTTCGAATTTGTTCTAAAATAATTTAAATAATTTCTATAAACAATCTCACCTTTGTCTCCGACTTTTAGATCCTCCACTAGTTGCATCTATCGATAGATGTTTCTTCTTAGCCTGCTTCTTCCTCTTTCAACTCCTAAAACTCCCTCCAAATCTTACCGCTTATGAGTTCGAAAATTCTTCAGGAAATTGGATCCTAAATAATTGTTAAAAGAGCCAAAAATCCTAAATCTCACACAAAATTCATGAAAACCTCACTTAGGCTTATAAAAGCCCAAAGCAGGGCTTTGGGCTCTTTCAAGCCCTATGTTAGCCTTTTCACATAATTTATTGGAGACTCTGGTGTCTTTTCTGCCTTTCAGCAATTAGCAGCGATGTTTGGTCACCGCCAAACATCGCTGCTTCACTTAGGAAAAGGAAACAGTTCAACAAGGAATAAATTTGTCTATAAAAGACAACTTACGTCTGTTTTTGGATCTCCTTGAATCCTTCTTGCAGTGGTTAAAGTAGTGAAGCCTTTCTTCGTAAATCCTCGAGTAGGAGTTACAGGACTCCAGAACTTCTCTCATCTGACTGTTCATGTTTATATATTAGATTTTAAATTATTTTTGTTAACTGGGGTTTTGGGGTTTTGGGGTTTTGGGG